TTCCAGCATTGAATGGCGGATAGCCGAAGAGGAACTCAAACATAATGCAGCCCAGGGACCACCAATCACTCATTTCATCCTGACCAACACCGTTAATGGTTTCCGGGGCCAGATAATCTGGTGTACCCACAAACCGCCTGTTATGGTCCTCGGGGTCAAACAGCGCCATTAGGGGAGGCATCATTGACTGCTGTGGCGGAGTACTGTAGGAGAAGGAATTGCTCATTGTGGGTTGAAGCGGGTACAAGTGAGGAGACTCACCCGCCTCGCTTTGGCTCTCCTCTTCGGGTAGTTGATGCTGATGGTGGTGTTGGTGTTGGCCCGGGACGGGCACAGGCATAGTCCCGGAAGCTTCACCACCCTCGTTGACAGACAAAGTGCGGAACATGGCATTCAGACTCTCGCTGGCGCCGCTATCGCTACGGTAACCGGACGCTCGACGAGAAGTCTGCCGACTGAGTCCGCCCCCTTGGTTGAGGCTGAAGTAAGATGGTTGGGGGATGCTGCTAGCAACATCTGGCGTGATCAATGGTGTGGACCCTGGGGATCCACTGCCTTGGAAATCGAAGGAGGCCGATCTGGAAGATGTAATTGACGTTGCTCGAGGAAACGAACCCTGCTTCAGAAGATCGGGTGCTGGTTCATTGTTCATACTCTTGAGGACGCGTTTTTGACGCCCAACAAGACCCATGCGTGACAGTCCGAAATCAGTCAGCTTGAGATGACCCGTCTGATCGATGAGGAGGTTGTCTGGTTTGAGATCACGGTGAACGATACCCCTACCATGGAGATGTTCGACCCCGAGGACTACTTCCGCAATGTACTTTTTCGCCCAGTCCTCGGGCAGTCCACCAAGAACCTTGACAAGCGAAGCGCAATCGCCGCCGTTGAGATATTCCATTACCAGGTAAAGGTAGTCCTTGCTGGAAAATGTCCAATAGAGCTTAGCAACAAAATCGCTTTCGCCTTGCCACATCATAATCGCACGCTCCGCCTTAACATTGGTGACCTGATTCTTCGCGACCATGTCCGCCTTCTTCAACACCTTGATGGCAAAGTATTCTCCAGTTACTTTTTTCTTGGCCAAGTATACACTTCCAAAGGCACCTTTGCTAATTGGCTTGATGATCTCAAAGTCCTTGATCGACGGCGGTGCTGGTCTCGGTTGCGGGTGGCTGGCGGATGACAAATGCGGTGAAACGGGAGGCTTTACGATATCGGAAGACGTTGCGGACGATTGACGGCGATGATGAGGGTAGTGGATTTGTGCCAGCTCGATCGCATTTGCAGAGGGAGATACTATAGGTGACGGTAGGCTATCGGCGCCGCTCGAAAGACGAGCCCGGGGCATTCGCAATGGTGAATGTGGCCCGGATACCCTGGCCGGAGAATGTTGTCTGCGAGGTGAGCTAGAAAGACCTGGAAGGACTAGACTCCTTCGCTTTCTGTCCATACTGCGGTCAGACGAGGGCGAGTCGGTTCGCACGGCACCGGGGAAAGCAGAAGAAGGAACGCTGCTGTCACTGTTATCACCAGCATCCAAATCTATCAACGAGAGGCCCCGTCTGGATGGCTGCGATGTCCCTAACACCCCGGCGATACTCTTGTGTGATCGGGGTGTGGGACATTCCATCGGGCTGTTCGACCCAGTCGACACAGCGACTGAGGCTTTGCCTTCGGAGGAGTGGTTGGACTGGAACCGGTCGGGCGAATTGCGCATGGACATGGTTAAAGCGGACATTGCAGGCGGTGCTGTAGATTCGCGCTTCCCTCGTATTATCGGGCTACTTGCAGTCACGGCGACTTCGTTGTCTTGGGGGGCGTCATCGTCTGAGGCACTTGAGTCACTGAGCTGGCCCGCCGCAATTCGCTCAGCTTTAGTGAGAGCCGCGGTGATGCACTCCTCTACCAGTATTGTGTATTCGATGCGAATCCGCTCGGCATACTCCACAATTCTTCTATGGCGGATAACCGCATCGACTTTTGCCTTGGCGACTTGTTCGGTATCGGTGCATAGGGCCGCGAGTCCTTGCTCCTGCTCTAGTGTATTAGAGCTGGGTGACTGCCACTGGAGAACCTGCGAGATACGAGATTCGGACTGCGGTGACAACGTCCGAAAATCATCACTGTTGTCCGCGCGAGACTCCTTGATTACAGGCATGTTGATTTCCAAGGCAGTGTCACAAAGGTCAAGGATCAATTCAACGACGCGAGCTAGCGGACGCCGCACTGCGAATGATCGAGCGCGAGTATGCCCGATTCCTGAGGCCGAATGATCTCTGGATCGAGGCGGCGTGCCAGGAGCGGAATTAGCACTAGAGACTGATCCGGACGACGGTGCGGAGGCCGCTGGAGATGGCCCAATTGGTAGGCCTTTGTACTCGGGCTGGGGTGTCGGCGGGGGGTTGCTCTCCCCGAGTACCAACGGCCTGCTTTGTCTGGCTTCTAGAGCATCTAGCACTCTGACGATAGCATGACGGTGCTCGTTGAGATTCTCCTGAGCTATCTGAACATCCATCTCGGCCCGATGCTCCTGTAGACAAAGATCCGAATGTTTCTCAAACCACCATGGTGTGATCTGACGTTCACAAATACGACACAACACAGGGTTTGGAGCTGGATGCTTCGAAGGATCAGGCTCACTAGCAGCAGCCTCAGCTAGAGTGGTCAAGTAATTTGCCAACACTTCCGCTCCAACACCCAAGGATTCGACTAGCAAAGGCGGAAGGTCGATGGTGACTTCTCTCGGTTCCGTAAACGGTCGCAACATCCACATGGTCTGCCAACGTAGAGAATAATGGTTAGTCTATATCACGCATACCGGGCATCGACTGTTGCGGTGACTTACATGTCCAACTCCGTCGGCAGTCCGATCAAACACCATAATACCTTGTCCTTCCAGATGAAGGAGGTCATGATGCCGGTCCTCCTTCTCAGCCGGGGCTTGTGCTTCTTCTGCAATGTCGGTCGCTTCAGTGGCTTCATGCTCTGGTTCCGCAGGTCGTGGCTCTGGCGAGTACTTCAGGACCGAGTCGGGGCCCATATGGACTGCAAAGCGAATAAACCGACTGCGGGAGTCATCCTCCTTCATGCTCTCTATAGCATCGTGAAAGACGTTCTGGTTACCGACCACGATCTCCGATATCATCCGCCCCTCTATTGACACCGGTGACGTGCCCACGACCTGTTTCCATGATGGACTGACCCATTTGACGCGACCATCAAGATCCAAATCAACGATGACATTCAGGGTTTGTTCCGCCGCTTCCTTGAGATCTTCACGTTCCTGTCGCATGTAATCGACGCTGGGGGAGCGAGTTGGAGAGAATCTCGGATCGATACTCCGAGCTTCCTGCCGCAGGGCAGTCACGGCGGGAGGAGCGAGGTATTGAGCATCATCTGTGCCATTGCCCGCCATGCTGAAAAGGCGGAGCCGACAGGAATACCGAAGACTGCCCCGAGGGGAGGACGAGGGGAAGTCGAATGACTGAGAGGCGTGGGGTGTGAAATCAAGCGAGAGAAATTATACACGTTGAGCAGCTTCCAAGCAGGACCGTCTGCTAGGCAGAGCGGGTGCCCTTTGATTGTTGGTTATGAATGCATCCGCAGTATTAATTGGCCATGGCTGAATAGCGGGGGACGGTGATGACGAGACAGCAAACAACCCTATCGCAACAAAATAGACGGGGAAGTGCACTCTCTTTTTTTTTCGTTTTTCTGGTGATAGAGAGGGAACAAAAGATTTCTTTTTTTTTTTTCTAGATAAAGAAAGAAAAAAAGAGAGGAGTATCTCGTGATCACGTAAGGACAGAGGAGGAAAGCGAAACGAAGAGGGAAAAGCGGCTATGCGGGGGAATGGCGCGACGGAGCGTCAACGCGAAGCCAGGGTGACGATTGACCGAGTCAACCCCCGGAACGAGGTCGACTAGAAGCAGGGAATAGTCGGGGTTGGTGAAACCAGACAGCGCTGGAGGAATAGCGACATAGAATAAACAGAGCAGCGGGAGGGAAAGGAAAGCCAAGAGGGAGGGAAATGGCGAGACGAACAAGAATTAAGGGCGAAAAATAGATGGGAAAAGGCACAGCGACAGTGAGTGGGAAGACAAGCCAGCCAGCCAGCAAACCTCAGGAATGGCAGCGTCAGTCCGTCGTACTAAGAACGTGAGAAACGGCAAGTTTACCAGTCTTTACCCGTTTGGTTTCCACTCAGGCAAATCACACGCCGCCAACGGTGACTGCGGGTCTGTGCGGTACCGTTCGGTATGGTAAAATTGGCGGGAAAAGCAGCAGCGCAAGACTTTCGATCAACGATTGACTTTCAAAAGTCCAAACACTTTCTCAGGAAAGAAAGTCTTCGGTTGAATGGACACAATCTGGATGGGGGTTTTAGGTTTCCCGCCTGAAACCATCGTAGCTCCAAAAAGGCAGGGGAGGTGCTGGTCGTCTGGTTCTGATTGCCGATTGAGAGACAGTCAGAAGCCGTTCCAACCGGAAAATAATACTTTGTAGTTACTATGTACGGAGTTGATAACATGATTCGCAACGAGGGTTTCCAAAGTTACTCCGTCTTCTTGCTGTCTACTTTGTAGTATAGCAGTATAGTAAGTAGTACACTGCGACTGAAGTTACTTTCATCACTAATACCGGCAGATTCAATTAATCTTTCTTACTTTTTCGCTTCCCTTCTCTTCTTTCCCCTCTCCTCTCACCTCACCTTCCCTTCTGACACACGGTGCATCTAGTAGTCTTAAAAGTCTTTCCGTCCGGGATTTCTTACCGCTGGCTAAGGAGTGGTGGCTCCATCTGCAAGGTGCATTAGGGTATGGATCACAGTCCATTAGACCTCTCAGAGGAGCCGCGGTGGATGCCCGGACACACCCGTGGTATAGGCATCTAGTCACTAGCTACATCTACTTAACTGTACCTAGCTGCACAGTTATCTAGGCGCTGCTCCAACATGCGCCAGAACCGCCCATCATCTGCTGGTATTATCGTCGACATTATCCGACGGACAACTTCCATACGTCTGTTATTCGCTGGCCATCCCCCAGCTCCCTCTCCCTCACTCTAGCAACGGGGCAGTGATTCATCCTAGTCCGATGCTGCATCCTCTCCACTCGATTAACAAATCGAATGCTTGGGGAGATATTGAATGAATCCCAACACACGGCTCGTTCCTCAGGACATTCTCCCCTCTCATTTGTTGTGGCCTGACGATTATCGGTCGCCATTAACATCATTGCCGTCATCATCACCCAGGAACCAGCAGTGGCCCCCCTCCATTCAGAGACAACGCAGCATTGCCGACCTCGTACTTTCCCGTGGGTGAGATAGCGGAATTGCTTTTCTTCTTTCCTTTCGGTCTCGATCCCTTCTGGAGGGAGGTCAGTCCGAACCACACACGACAGTATCCGCAGCCACTGAGCGCCACTCTAGACCCCGTCTCAACGGTCGGGCCATTTCTATTTGGCGCATCTCTTCGATGGGTTTCTGTTCTCAAATTCCTGTGCAACCGACCGTACTCTCCTCGCCCCTTCTAACATGCAGCCGTCAGAATCTAGAAAACCCTGTAGACTGAACTGGTGCAAATTTTTGTCACCCCGGAAAGGATTCTTACGAGTGAATGCGACCCGACGGCGTACGTGTGTTGCCTGCAGCGTCACATTTGCGCCCATAAATTCAGAGGGCCGACTACACCAGAACGTCACCGCCCGGGCGAAAGAAGTTGAGAACCAAAATGGTAAATAATGGCAAAGAACAAGAGTCTCTCATCTGCGTCCGCCGTACCATGGATCAAGCTCCCCCAGACCCAGCGGATAAGCTGCTCACTTGACTCCCCTTCGCCCCCCATAAGATACATCATTCGATCCGGGACAGGGGACGCTAGAAGCCCGGATTCATCTCCAGCTAAACTGACTAGGGTTCCGCTGGTAAGCGAGGCAGGTTGTCTGCATGTCTGCAGTTACACGCAGTCCGGACTGCGGTCGGCCATTGGCCCGTGACAGATCATAGTCTCAGCCCTGGATTCCGCGCATTCGTTCGACTCAGTTGTGGAATCCACTAGATACCATCTTAGCAGTATCGGTTTGTTATCCCTTCTGCGATTTGGTGGGGATTGACCGGTAGCAGTCAAATTTGTACTGAGGTAGTATTGTTTTTACTCTACATGTCACTCCGGTTATGACCCAAAAATGGTAAACCCAGACTCGTTCGTCATCAGGACTCCTTCCACGTACTCCCCGATGGAGGATAACACCAATCGGTATATGATAGAAGCTGAGGTGGATGTTTCTGCGGGGTAAACCAGGTGGGGAGGTTTCAAAGCTGATTGACGGCGTGGCTGGAGACCAAATGCCATCCATGACCGCAAACGATCCCTTCTTTTCTTTTTCGGTCCGCCTTTGGTCCTCCTGCTGCTACCTATCAGACCAGTAACGTCCTTCGGCTCTGCTTGACGGCTACGCAATAATATCATGATGATGACAATGATGCGCTGGTTGGCGATCCACCCCGTTTCACCTCCATTGCCTCAAAATCTCGAAAATGGCAGCCCTGAGGACCTCCCAACCCCTGGACATCGCTACAAGCCAATGACGACCGTATCCCTGGTTGTATTCTCGAATTATTCTATCGCCATCAGCCAGACATCCGAATCCCATGGGTCCCAGTTTCTTCCACACTGCGCAACTGTGAGGATCACCGTCTGCAGGTGGCGTAGGCACGTCCGGCCTCCCGTACATGGAATTCGATGAGAGTTCCTGCACCTCCCACATCCGAGACTGCATTCCACCGTCAATCCTTACCGAAGGGGCCAAGGAATATGAAAGCAAAGGTGGACCAAGAGCAATGATCGGCCTTTTGTCTGTGGAGGAAACAACTCCCTCTCCACACTCAGCACACAAATTCCTCCCTCGTTTGAACCACTTACAAGCTGACACCAGTAAACCCAAAAAATGTTACTTGCCTGTTGAGATCGTCGAACATGAACAAAGACATGAGAGGGAGGATGACAAAAGTACTAACTAACTACCATGATACTTCCCTTAAACTAACCAACCATATCTCCCATCCCCGCACACAAAACACGCATGGACGGACATTGGCCGATCCCACGAGATCATCTGACAGGGGGTTCCCAACCTAAATACGGACAGAGAAGCATGGGAAAGAAACTCAGTCCAGTCAGTCAGTCACTCCAGTAACAGTAACCTTGCTTACATACCACACCACCCCATACAATGTTAATGTGTCAAAACCAAAACCAACAAAGTTAACATTCAGCCACCTCCGCCTCCAAAACCAAGAAATTCTTTCCTAAGGTACCTAGTACTTACCCAAACTAGCAAGACATCTGTTTGAAAACTAGAGAAGCAAAAACATTAAAAAAAAACAAAGTGAAGATGGGTCCACGGAATCAAAGGACCTGGAACCCTACCACCTCATCATAGATTTTGCACGGGGAGAAATATATACATCCACATACACCGCACATATTACTATATAGCTCGCTCTCCATTTCAAAGCCAGGGGAAATTCCCGAAAACAAGCTTGCTTTTTAAACACCTGAATGTAAAAGACGTATACAGTTTTTTTTTTTTCGTCTCATAATCATGGCCTGATCTTCTCTTCTACGTGAAGGCCGGTGGGATGGCCTATCTAGACCTAGACAATAATTTACCAGCATGTCACAACAACTACCATGTGATAGAATCTGAATTCTTAATTTTACGTTTTAACACAGACATTAGATGGCGTCTAGACCCTCCCTAGTAACGCCCACAATAAGCCCCCATCCATATATTTCCGTACTAATCCATCCATACCACAGTACCTAGATAGGTTAAGTTCTAGTAGTTACCATAGCAGCGATCAGCCAATCTCCATAAATCCATCCATCCATCCATCCACGCGCACACACAGACACACACACACACACTATACCATCCATCACCATCTATCTTCATAGCCCAAAATTACTTACCTTGTTCCGGACACATACATACATACATACATACATACACACCCCAATAGCGAAATCTCCCCTCCCCAAAGTAATTTCCTCTCCAAATCCCAAAGTACTGCTAATCCTCTCCCCATCCATCCTTGTTTCCATTCGTGCATTTGCACATGCATAGTACATACACTTACCACCCCCATATATATATATGCTATATATGTATGTATGTACTGTGTATGTATGTTTGATTTGCCATCCCCATCCCCAGCCCCCCCTACATCATACACATCATCCCCACCCATCCTATCACGGCATATACATAATTACAGCATACATATACATAAAAGCTAAAGCATGGGGTGTAGAGGAGAAAAATGAAAAGTAATAGTAGTATATATTTCGCCTTGCAAGGGGGCGGGGGGGGGGGGGGGGGCGATGTTGGGTGTGATTTGGGGTAGATAGTACGACTTGAATTATCTGTGTCGGTTCTGGTTCGCATTCTGGAAAGTGATGTAAGTACATGAACGGGATAGAATAAGGTAAGTAGTACTTGTGATTTGTATGTACTATTTGTGGATTATGATGATACTTCCTCTGGATTCTGTCTCTTTGTATCCGGGGAGGTCAGTGTTTCTGGGGTATATGGCACGGTAGTAAGAGTAGGAAGGTGGAGTTGTTGAAGCATGGTTTCAACATTGGGGTTGCTTATGCGTTTAGTCGATGCATGGTTGGTCCAATGACGTGGATTAATGTAGAGAGGATCATATGAAAACTGGCTTCATTGAGTTTACAGGATGCAGGAAATTCCCTCCGCATTAGAATTGTAATAATTTTAGCGTGAAAGAAGGTTTATCCTTAACAATAGCAGACTTCCGGATTGCAAGCCTGAGCACGAGTGTGCGTATGGAATGATAGTGACAGAAGTCACTTCTTAAGAATAACATTAATGATAATGACAATCGCAACACGTATCGAACCAATTCAGTCCCAGCATATGATATCAGACGCGATCTTCTCGGCAAGCATGTCTAAGGCTGTCAGCAGCGAATAGGAACTCAGACACTGAAGGCCACTTACAAACTACCGATTGGGGATGTCCCGGAGGCAGAAATGGGAACGCACTGGCATCGACCACTCTCAATCCATCAACACCGAATACTCGTGCCTGGCTGTCAACCACAGCCATTGAGTCATTGCGCACACCCATCTTGCACGTACACGAAGCATGGTAGACTGTCATAAGGGTGTCCTTGATCACTTCTAGTATCTCCGAATCAGTCTGGAACTCTTCCCCGGGAAAGTATTCTTCCCCGTCAATAATCGGTTCCATCCCCGGACTCTGGAAAATCTCCCGATTTCTTCGATAAATCGCAACAGCCACTTCTTCGTCTGTTTTGGTTGCAAGCCAGTTGGGATTGATTATTGGCAGGTCGTCTGTGTCGTCTGAAATAATAGTGACATTCCCGCGGGATGTGGGTGCGACTAATGCTCCGGCGATTGACGCATACTGCGCCCCATCTTGCGGTTGGTGTTTAATAGGATCAGAGAAGTCTCCAAGATAGAGAGCCACTGGAATGTACTTCAAGGGGTCCAGTGTTAGCCATGCTCGAAGTCCTCGTGCAGAGAGCGTACCTCTATCTCAGGCCAGCCAGGAGGGAACCAGGATAGATCCCGGATCGTCTCCTCGGAGAAGTGAGACCGAAGTTCATCTGGGACCTTCTCAAAAGCCAAAAAATCAATTCCCTGGGTTGTTAGTGGACCAGTACGGTTCGCTAAATACTGGACGACTACTTCAGTCAAGTAAAGAAAGTCAGTGGCAATCCTGGTGCTTGTTGGAAGCGCAACTCGGTAGGCAGGCCCGAAGAAAGCATGATCCCACATGTTTTGCCCTACTCCGGGAAGGTCAACAACAACCTCAATACCATGCTCTTCCAGCGCACTAGCTGGACCAATTCCAGATACCATCAGGAGCTGAGGGCTCTGGAATGCCCCGGCTGACACTATGACTTCCCGGGTGGCTCGCAATATATATATCAAGTCCCCAGTTCTTACTTCCACCCCGGTAGCTCGCCTTTCTGTGTTGATGAGTATTCTCTTTGCCATTGTCTTCTTGTACAGTGCAAGAGTCATTAGACGTGGTATCGGAGAGCTTTTGAAAGCGGCCTCTGAACTACTTCGGATCTTCTTGTGTGGGTCGATGGTCAGAGCACAATATTGAGCGCCCAGTAGGAACCCGCTGTTGAAGTCCTCGATCTCCGGAATGCCTACAGACTCCATCCCGCGCTTTATCCAGCTCGAAAACGGTACGGCGAAGTCAGGGTAGGATACCTGCAGAGGCTCGCCCCGTTCATCAAACGCACCCAGGTTGAATGATGCTGTGGCATTGCTATGCCGTATGTCGTTGTTGGGCGGAGTGAAGTTAGCCGTGCGTTGGAAGAAAGGGAGAATTCGGTCGAAAGTGTAGCTATTGTCGTCCACGAGCTCAGCCCATTTTTGCATTGTCTCTCTATTCGGCCTAGCTCCAATGTCAGTTCTGCCCTCCGTGAACAGCCCGGCGAGTGGTTTCGAACCTTTGATAAACCATCATATTAGAGCCTGTCCTGTAGAGGGTCAAGACAATTAGTGTTGCCCATATGGAAATGAACACGAAAGTGAGAGAAGAAGTGAGCTTACGATCCCCCCAGACATTTGCCTCTGGGGTAATGAAGGTCACGATAGTTGGCTCCCGGAACACTGTAGGCGACAAACCGCCAATCCACGGGTGTCGAGCTGTTCACATCGCTCCCTATGCCTATGATCCCAGCTCCTGGAACCGCAGCTAGGGGATATTTGAGCTCGTAGAAGTCTCCCGCCTCAACCAGAGCTACTCTGTATCTATGTTGTGCGAGACGAGCTGCCAAAGTTAAGCCCCCAGCCCCGGCACCAACAACCACGTAGTCGAAGGAGGCGTCTAGCCCCGGGACGCCTAGCTCGGCATCGTCCAGATAATCTTCCGAAAACCCTAACGCAGTGGTAGCAATGGCCAATAGGACAAGTGTCCAGGTCGTAAAGGAAGACATTCGACTAAAGCACATATGATGAGAGCAAGCGTTTAGCGAAAGAACAGGCCTTTCAGGCATCCGAGGCATAATCCTGATCGTTAGACCTATCACTGCATCCCACTGAAGACCACGGAATAAGTACACACGGAATCTCAAAAAATAAGAGCGACGAACGAACTGACTAGGAAGAATTGCGCGGTACTTTGGGAGAGATGTAGTTGTATCACAGCGGGGGATCCATTGGTTCCTGCCGGATGAGGAAAGAATATACAGGTGAATGACCTGTTCCTGCGCCATGCAGTGACATCCAATAACCAATGAACGGTATCGATCCGGTCAGGTATAGCATGATCATTTCATCCAGCATCTTGCCTGTTATTCAAGAGGCCGATGACACCCATATTTGCAAGGACAAAGACAGCCAGCGCATTCTCAGAGCCAAAGAATCCAGACCTGATGCGAACTGCGACTTAAGCGCACTGCATATTGACACCAAATGGTTTCCTTCAAGTCCTCAGGTCCCGTTCAACCTCATCGTTGGTGATATTGTGAGGTTCAATGATCATCCCTCCCTCCATGGCGACGATCATCCCCCATATCACAAGGAAGATTTCGCATCCATGCTGGTATTCCATTTCTTCACACGAGCCCCGTAACCTTCTGTCGGCTTCCGATGCTCCAATCAGCAGCGAATCAAGTCGGCTCACATCCCAGTAGGGGAGGGGAAAGGAACCGATGATATGGTGCAGGATGTGGAACCAACACGAAGGTTCAATGTATGACAGAATAAGGGAAGTTGATTTGGCAGGAATTAGATGATTTTCGCAAATAGGGCCAACATTGAAATATCTAACGTAATTCACTTCCCTTCGGTCCTGTGAGCAAGATAAGATCCATAGCTTCAAGTATAATCTACCGTGTCCTTTCATAGTTAATGACCGGTAGGTTTCTCCGAGAAAGCTTGCCAAAAACATGTATCATCGGCTCGAAAGCCGGACCAAAGATCGAGGAAATGCTTCACCGTATCTCCGGACTCGGGCATATTATTCGGCAGGGTTCGAAATGAAGTAGGCCAATCTGCTCGGGGCGTTGTTACAAAACTTTATTGAGTACCATTCGGGGCTAGAGCCAAGGGGACAGAAGCCGATGGAGTGAGTATACGAGACGCCTCAGTTGATCCCACTCGGAAGATAATGAGGGATCTCGGCATCGCAAGGGTCTCGCAGAATTAGACACCCGGTGTTGGGTCTCATGGCCAGCCCAAAATTGCCTAGGGGTCAGTTAGCAAGGCGTCGTACAAAAGTCCATCCAACTATATACAGGGACAACAAGTATGAGAGAACGCGCCTAAATACGAATCGAGGAGGAATTACTTATATATTACATTAATAAACATATACATCCGTACAGAAACCATCATAGTCTAGCCCGAGATTACAACGCCTTCTTTTCACCGGCCACCCGCTCCTGTTCCACCACATACCCGACTGCACGAGCGAGACCCTCGTACACAGGTACAACAGGTCTATATCCGAGCCGGAACTTGGCCTTGTCGCATGAGTAGTAACGAGTCATACACGAGTAGCGAACGGTTCTTCTAGTTAGACGAGGTGTCTTGCCGAGAAGGCCCAGCACCGTCTCTGCAATTCCGCCAATAGGGCCAAGAACGCCCTCAGGGAGCTCCCACACCTGATGAGGCTCCACAACCTTGCCAGTCAATGCCCAGGCAGCACGTGTCATGTCCCAGAAGTAGACCGGGGAATCGTTCGTAACATTGAACGCTTCGCCGTCAACCCGCTCGTGGTCCAGGGGAGCACCCTGTCCAGCTTCATACCGAGAGTAGGTAGCGAGCAAGCGGTATGCAGCCAAAGTATGAGCGTATGCAATGTTTCCAACGTACGTGAAATCAAACAAGTTGTTGTTCTCGCCTAACTGCATGCGGAGGACGGTCGGGGAGGCTTTGGACGAGTGCTCCAGGACCTTAAAGGTGAAGGTCGTATCCTTCTCACCATAGATACCAGCCGGACGAAGGGCACATGTTACCATCGAGGTTGGAGAGGCGCGGTTATACTTCAAGACGATTTCTTCGGCGTCCGCCTAGGAGGGTGAATCCTGGTCAGTACCTATCCCAAGAACGAAAAAAAAAAAGGGGTACATAACGCACCTTGGTTTCTGAATAATACTCTTGTTGCAATGGCCCCCGGATAAGAGGCCACTCTTCGGTGACGTTGATGAGGTCACTCTGGGTATCGTGCACGACAGAGCTCGAGCTGGTGTATACAAACGCCTTGCACTTTCCGCCCCAGTCACCACGGGCACCGCCCGCAACTTCCACCAAGACTTTGGTTCCATCAACATTGACCTTACGCAACAAGGGCTTGTTCCCTTCCAGAACGTTGGGCGTAGCGGTGTGAATAACAATGTCGGGCTTGACCGCGCGGAAAACGGCCAGCATGGACTCTTCGGACGTGATGTCGCCATCATAATACTCGGCTCCCGGAAGACGGTTGTGGGTCGTTCGCAGGTCGACAACAGCTACTTTCGCGATGCACCGAGGGTATCGATCGCCCAGCTTGGGGTAAACAAATCTGGGGTCATTCTGGGGCTTGGGAAGAGCGACACTGGGATCTGTCTCCGAGGGGAAATTGAGCAACTGATCAACAATGTGCCAACCCACGAACCCGCAGCCACCAACCACTAGGACAGTGCCCAGTTCCATTGTGGGACGTCGAGTAGACATTTTGAGGTATGACAGTAAGCTGTGATATATATAGAGCTAACTATCCGTGGTCGGTGGTTGGGGTAAGAGATAATAAACAGGAGAAATTGCGAGACCTGAAGGTTTGGGGGACGACGATGGTTTCCGCCTCCGGACAGAATCTCCGGGTTAAAGCTCGGACCCCCCGCAAAGAAGCCACACGTGAGTTTCCACTTTATGGAACCGAGATATTTGACTTGGTCCTTATTGTACTTAGTATTGCCCATCCATTCAGTAACGGATCTCATGTTCGATCTGATTACAATTTTTTTAATTAACGGGTCTGGCTTGCAAATTTTAGGGCCATTGCGTCAACTTTCGTACTTCTTATCAACGATCTAGTAAGGAGGCAGATCTTATATGGCCACTACCATGCATTCATCCAAATGGGGACTCTCCTTTCGATTCTTCTAGCACCCGCTACAGAACAGCTGAGATCCTAGTGTTGTATCCCATTAGGGTTTTTTTCCTTCTACGGATAAAGCGGCTTGGAAGTCTGGGAACGGATGCTTAAAGAAGCAAGCAGTGAGGAAGTAGAGGCTCGATACTGAGGTCATCTTAGCCAAGATATCAGTTTTCAAGAAACGGAGCACAGGATCGTTCTAGCTGAGCACCCCACTGACTCACTAACCTAGACCAATATAGGCAGAGGATTTCTATGTTTCGCTGTATTCTTTCATCAATGCGACTGTCTATAAACTCGCCAACGTGGATGGTAACTTACGCGGTCCTTTCTACTGATCGTCGCAATTCTCGGTTATACTTCCTTCGATCTTCCGGTGTTCCCCAAAATAATTTGGTTGCTTCGGGGTTAACAGTAGTTCGTGGGTCATAAGGCGGGTGTTCTTCTTCTAGAGATGCGACTATCCCCTCGATGTGATAACGCATCTCCTCAGTTCGCCTTGGAACGTAGCATAAAACTCCTTCTTTGGACACGCGAATATGAAAGAAAGACGAGGCCTCCAGAAACACACGGGGCTGTTCTTCCGGGAATCGCGGACTCAGATGTATCAGGATCTTGAACATGCCGCCATCCAGTTGCGTCATTGGTCTTCCAAAATATGTGAGCCTCCACATGAATGGGTTCCCCTCGTCAAGATATAGATCAACCGTAATGTTGTTCTGATGCTTGAGGGTTTCAACAATTTGTTCGTACTGTCGTTGCAGGCTGGCTGCAATACCCCATTCTTGCTTTTTGGCCAACTGTCCTTCGACAGCCCAACCGCATGTTTCTCGAAGAATGGCATCTCTGACCACAGCCATCCGCCGTTTTAACTCCGGATAGTCGAAATGGCCATCCATAATATTGTTGCCGCCCTCAAAAGGCATTCTCTGGAATTTGGCTTTGCGGGAGTGTTTCTTCTCTGCAGCAACAAGAGATTGCATGTAGGGCTCGTAATACCACAAGAAACGTCTTTTGCGAAAATCCGCAAACGGGTCAAAAGAAGGCCTCCCATCCTCATAGATGATATTATCATCGCTTTCAGAAGTTGGGTCGGCTAGCGAGTCCGTACTCCCTTTAAGTGTGATGTTGAGCGATGCCTCAAGAGGCTCGAGAACGGCGAGGCGGAGAGTTTCATGGTGTATCTGGAAACATGGTCAAGAATGTTCTAACCTCAGAAGGGTATCTAAGCCCTTATTACCTTGGATACGTAGGCTTCCATGTTCTCTATATCGCTCGGTGACCGTGAGCTTTCATATCCGGGTTCGTTTTCGTAGGGGTTAGCCGACATTAAGCTCTGAATCGAGATAAGAAGAGACTCTAAGCACTGCGCAGACGACCATTGCTCTCCACTTTCACCTCGCCAGGTTCTACAAAGATGTCCGTTAGCCAGGCTCTCGCAGTTGATATGTATAGGCATCTGTATCTGTACCCCAAAATCGATCTATTCATCACCGCTTGATTAGTAGAGATCATGAGCAACTCCGAGAGTCTCAACTCACAGGCAGACCCGGCCAGATGAATAGATGTTGGGATTAAAGCGGCTTCGACCACCGTTAGTGGTCAAGGCGCGGACATTCGGAGATGTGGCTGGGTATTCTGTGAAGCTTAGTCCACTTGTCCACACGTTTATGAATTACCACAAGATGGTGATAATATACCTTTGCCAAATTTGATGAGAAACTAAGGTATATCATGTTGAAGATTAACACAGAGCTCTGTAAAACTGATTGATACTACCGAAGAAGTAGAAACGAACCTCAAAGAAGCCGAACTGATAGGGAGTATCTGGAGGGCCGAGAATGAGAGCGCGGACAC